TCAGAGGCTTCTGAGCACCAAATAGAGCTATTGAAAAAAACTCCCAAAACTCAATGATTCAATTTAAATGTCAATGACTAAGAAACATAAGGATTTCTTTGCCCTTAAATCACCCAATGTAGAGAAAATAATGTTTTGCAAAAATGAGCATGGCTTATTATTGATTCCATAACATTTGAAAAGTGGCAGATAGAGGTGCTGCCTGTTCAAGCACAGTTGAATCAGAATTTTCTTTGTGAGAAAATGTGATGTGTAGTTTGGAGCAAATCAATTATGGAAAATTGATAAGACACCATTGGAGCTCCATACAGCTAGTGCAAGATGCTCAAGTTCGTGACCTTAGGCCTGTTGGTTGGTTTTATTTGCAATCTCCTCTTGGATTTAGTGCTGGTATGGTTGGTTCTGATGGGGAAGTGAGCTCAATGACTCAGTAAATTTTGGGGTGGCTCCTTCTAGAGTGTCTCTTTTGTCACAATGGTCTCCCACTTCAGTGAGACTCTCTCTTCACTGCCTGACCTTGGAAGCTCTCTTACTGTGAGCTCTCCTTCCCCAGCTTGTGATTTTTACATGCAAGCTCAGTACTATGCAAGCTCATGTTTGACGAAGGGCCTCAAACATTGAAATCTGCTACTCTAGAGGGAGAGAAACTGAGATAGTACTGAGGTTTGGAAGAGATGGCTTTCTAGGTCCCTGGAAACCTTCATTTCTTGACTTGGGATCAGTCAGCAGATTCGATACCACCAAAATTATGGAGAGAAAATCAATCCACAGAAGAGTAAAGAGTATTCAAAAATCATATTTGAGAAATAACTTGTGACTGTGTTACACAAAGAACTTTATCAATACAATGAAAAAGAAAACCCAATTTAAAATGGGAAAGCACTTGAATTTCTTCAATGAAGAAATACAATACAAGAAGTATCCAATAAACTTATTAAATCATCATTTTCAGTGTAGATTCAACTTACAATATCAGTCCAGCTCCACTGAGATTACTTCTTAATAAAATATATATAGTATATGAAGTATATATATATAAAGTATATATATGAAATATATATATAAAGTATATGAATGATACACAAAGACAGTAGAAATAAGGGCCAGGAGAAGTGGTCCATGGTAGAAAGTTTGCCACAAAGGAAGAGGAGGAGGAGGGTTTCAGTGATAGTTGGAAATTATCACTCTGGACATTTGGACAATAACCGAGTGATGAAAGGAGGTATATTTTCAGTGATGGTATTGAGAACCACAATGCCTAAAAGGAAAAATATAGAGGAAGGTTGTGAGGGTGAGCCTGAGGGTGGGTGGGAGGGAAACTGGAGACATTGGTGACAGGAAATATGCTCTGGTGGGGAGAGGGGTGTTGAAATATTGTACGGCTGAAATTCTATCATGAGCACCCTTGTAATTATATTTCACAGTGATTCAATAAAAATTATGAATAATAGTTTTTAGTGAGGTATTAGAAGAATAATAATTCTTAATAATTCTTTTTTGGGGGGAGGGGTCATACCTGGTGGTGCACAGGGACTATTCCTGGCTTTGCACTCAGGAATTACTCCTAGCGGTGCTCAGGGAACCATATGGGATGCTTCGAATCGAACCTGGGTCAGTCGCATGCAAGGCAAATGCCCCACCCACTGTAGCATTGCTCCAGCCCCCAAGAAATTCTTATATACTGCAAATAGCAAAGTAAAATAGTGCAGCTGTTCTAGAAAAGTTTTACAGCTCCTCAAAATATTAAACATGGACTTATCATATGACTATTCACTATTATTCTCTTGGAGAAATGAAAATACGTTCATGCAAAAACCTGCTTAATGTTCATAAAAGAAATATTCAAAATAACTAAGAAGTAAAAACAATTCAAATGTCCACTGATAATAAGAATATAAAATAGGATATATATATATACGCAGTGGCTTATTCATCTCTACAAAGAAATGAAATTGATACATGAGACAACTTAGATGAATCTTGAAAATATTGTCATAGGGTCTGTGACAAAAGTCACTTATTTGTTTGTGTTGCCGATTTCTCCACTGTCCAAATGTGGAGAGTTAGTGATCTGAACCCTCTAAATAACCTACTGTGTCATGCAACATAACATTTAAACCCTTTAGCAGAGTGGTGTGACAAATACATTACATGGTGCAATGTCACCTGCTTTGCAAGTCTGAGACCAAGAGTTCAATTCTTAGTGCTTGTCACATGCATTGAGTCTGGGCCTGCATTGAGTCTGGGCCTACAGCTCTGCACACTCAGGATGCTCCAATGCCAGAATGCAATGCAATATTTAGTGCAAGCCACATGTGTGCAAGCACTGCAACACTTGTGTGTGATCCCATGAGTACCACAACTGAAATATGTATGAGCACTTTTAGCAGGAGTATGGCCCCTAGTGAGCACTGTATAAGAGCATGGCAACTCCTGAAGAGCACTGTGAGCACCACAATAGAATGGACCCCTGTGAGCACATATGCAAGCACCCTTCCCAAAGAGCCAACTTCGAACAATAAGACACCAGTGTGGCCACCAACAGCATCTGACTTAGCACATAGTCAATTCTCAGGATACCTTGACTGCATGATGAACTTCCCTTGCACTGTTTTTTTTGTTGTTGTTGTTGTTGATATTGGGTTCATAGAGATGAGTGATTTAGCCAGAAACTATAAATTTATAGAGAAATGGGTGCTAAAGAATCATCAAGTGTAATTAGCAATAGGCTTGAGTACTTGGACTCATGAAGAAGGGAGTCCCATTGACTAACAGAGATGGTCTCCAACTCCCACCAAGAGATGGGGTCCTGTCCCTGAACCTGGAGTCTGAGTGAAGGACTCGTGACAGCTTTGACCGAAATAAGATGGCAAAGAAAATGTAGAACTAGTTCCTAGACCCAAGTCTCAAGAGTTCAGCAGCTTCTGGCTCCTGACACAGAGGGCCAGGTTCACTGTTGAAATCAGTCTCGGGGATCTCTGTGCTGTCATGTCAGAAGTACTACCACCATGAGGCCCTCACTATGGAGACATATTTCCAACTAAGCCAACCTCCTGGGCATTCTCTTTAAAGAAGTCAAACACATAAGTGAAGCTATAGCTATGTTGGATCATTTCATGCCCCCTCAATCCACCATCCTAATACCTCCTATAATCCCCGAGCAGTGCAACATAGATCAAAAGGCTCACTAGCCAGAACCTGAACATAAAACATGATATAACAAAATGTTTATTTTAAAATGTATTAATCAAGATATAAAGCAGTTTTTCAAGTATTTCCATGTGATAGGCTTTTAGACTTTTGTTTAAAGAAAATGAAGATGTAGTGAATAGTTCTGAGAAGGAACCAAATAGTGTGTGATAATTCACAGGCCTCTGCTTCAAAGCCCGAAGAGAGATTCACAATAAACAAGGACTCTAAGTTTTCGTATAAGAAGGGACTGGAACGATAGCACAGTAGGTGGAGCATTTGCCTTTCATGGGGCCGACCTGGGTTCGATTCACAGCATCCCATATGGTCCCCTGAGCACCGCCAGGAGTAATTCCAGGAGTAACCACTGTACATCACTGGTTACTGGTGTGACCCAAAAAGCAAAAAAAAAAAAAAAAAAAGACTTTTCAATAGAAGTGTATTGCCTAATATAACTGGCATCAGAGCTTTTCAGGTAGTAAGGCCAAGTTAGATGTTTTTCTGTACTGACTGGAAATAATCAGGCACCCGGAGTGTCAAAGGTATGACCATACACATGGCCAGGTGTTCCATTTGTAAAACAGGGCCACATACTAAACCCCAAAATTCCTTCCCTGACTTCTAAAGCCAAGATTTTATTTTCAGATCTGTGTATTGAAGAATTGCTTCTGAGAATTACCTCTCTCCTCAACTCCACAAACTGCCTCACCTCAATAGCCATAATTGTTTTATTTTTTATTTTAATTTTTATAAATTTGTTCACAATATTTTATTACATTTAATATTTGAACACCAATTCTACTACCATTACACCTTCCCACCACCAAATTTTGAATATTTCCATCCCAAACCCAAACCCTGCCCCAAAAGCAGAACTGAAACATTGATTTTGTATTGCTTGTTATGAATAATCTGTTAAAAATGATCCAAAAAAAGCTATTACTGTTTTAGAAGCTCTAGGTACACTAGGAATATAAAAAAAGTCTTACCCTACTTCCATTACTCTCAAAAATAGCAACAACTAAGCAACCATAAAACCAAAAACCAAGCCCTTCTAAGAAACACACACTGTCATACACACACTGTCCTCCCGTTGTTCATCGATTTGCTCGAGTGGACCCACATGTCTATGGAAATAAAATGCTTAGAGACAAGTTATGCAAAGGTCCCAAGAGGTGTATATTAGTTAACAACTGACACTGCCTGGTGATTGTTCTGTTATTTCAGGGCTTCTGAGATAATAGGAACTAGATAGTTATGTCCTTACTATGCACAAATACCACACATTTACGGGCCTGACCTCAGTTCTTAAAGCAGCCCTTTGAGGTGGCTATTATGAAAACTGTTGCATCAATTTAATACAGAAGCATGAAAGGGCTAAGCCACTGAGTTAAGGTTCCACAGACAGTAAGTGATGAAGCAGACAGGGATGGGTGGGCAATGAGTCAAACCTTGTCTGGTTAAGGTCAAAGTCTGTCTTCCCCCTCCCCCCACTCCCACCCTAAACTTGCTGTTCTGAAAGAATGGAAGCATTTGAGACTCCTTCCGTTGCTTATCCAAGAGGAAAAAAATTAATCAGCAGTAAAGTGGTAGCTTGTTATGACCACTTCATATTAACAACTTTCTCACACTTGAATGCTTATGACAGTGCTCATTCAGATGAACCATTTTTCTCCCTCTATGAGGTTACTGGTGCCACACTTGGAATCTTATAGACATTGGTTCCAAGAAATAGGTGATTTACTAGCCAGCAAAGCATTGTCCATCTGACATAATTGCAACCTTATATCATATGCAAAATATTTACATACCTAAGCAGTTATGCCCTTGGGAGAATCTGGGGCTAGAGAGGTCATTTGAGGCTGGAGAGGCAGCGCTGGGAAGGAGCAGGAGAAAGAGCAGAGGAGCTGCCCGCAGAACTTTCCAGAAGCACTTCATATTGGGACTCCACATCCAAGGGACCAGCAGGGTGTCAGAAGCTCTGACTAAGGTAGGCTGGAATAGGGGCCACAAGAGAGATTCATTTCTTCCCTTCTCTCTACCCAATCCTACACCCCGTGCTCAAATTCAGACTTCGCGCGCACACACACACACACACACACACACACACACACACACACACACTGACTTATTATGGCAGAGACCTAAGACAGCAGCATCTGGACCTGAGAGAGCTGAGGAACGTCTTCAATGCAGGTCTGAGATGAAGCTGCAGAAGCTTAAAGTCAGCCTCCAACTTCTGCACCAGCAGGTTCACCACGACCGCCTGTGACTTCAGGAAATGAGAGGCTGGCCGGAATTGTCCTGTGGGTTCAGTTAGGAGGTGCTTCCTTTTCAGTTCTTACACAACAAAATTAAACTCATACTAAAACCAAAAAGAAAAAAGAACTCTAAACCACAAACACAATCCCCGTTCAACTGACTGACCGTCAGCAACCACAAGGACTAGAAATTCTGAGTCTTTATACTCACGTGGTTGTTTCAACAGCTTTACATGCCTTACTTGGTTGTTAAAGATTATTCTGGAGAACTTAGGTTGTTCTTGAAGGGTCAGCTATCTCAAGGCCTTTGGACAAGCCTTTGTGGACAGTGAGCAATGCAGGCAATAACGGCTCAATGCGTTGAGTTTTCTCTCTAATGAGAATAAAAAGATAGATTGTAATTAACCAGGTCAGATTTGCTTGACCATGTATAATGCATTTCTTTTCTTCATAATTTTAAAGTAGGTTTGTATTACCCTCCTGTGGATTATTGGTTTCTTTTCTTCTTTTTCTTTTTTTCTTTCCTTGTTTTTTTGGATCACACCCGGCAATGCACAGGGGTTACTTCCAGTTTATGCACTCAGGTATTACTTCTGGTGGTGCTTGTGGGACCATATGGGATGCTGGGAATTGAACCCTGGGTTGACCATGTGCAAGGCAAATGCCCTTCCCGCTGTGCTATCACTCCAGCCTCTCTTTTCTTCTTAAGAGAATAATTTTCTGTTTTGAAAATGAGAACTACCTGGTGCTCTTAAAGGGGGAAAAATAACAAAACCAAATTACTATGAGAAGATTTGTGGTCCAAATACTTTCTTCAAAGCTAGGACGCTGCCCAGCCCTAAGCCATTCTCAAGAGATAAAGACTGGGCCTCAGGGCCACTATCTAGATTAGCCTAGAGAGGTAGTGGTTGCTATGCTTCCTTTAAGCCCTGAGCAAAACATTATAAATTTTCATGTACTAGCAATTACTTCTTTTACTTCTTCTCTTCTTCCTCCTAATTCCCTCCTTTTCACTCCTCCCACTTTTGCTTAAGGAGTAACACTTCAAGTAACAGGCAGAGTATTTTAGAGTTAAATTATTTCCAGGACATAAGAAACTAAGTTTTATGGTTTGAAGATTTCTGTGTAAACATGAGTTTAAAACATGCCCATTAGTCAAATATCTGATACTGCAATAGAGATGGTACACACCTACAGGTTTCTTTCCTGAAGATGCCAGTGTAGGCTGGGCATGAATGTCACCAGACATCCTTTGTTGCCATAAGCTTGTGAGGTTTTAGAAATCCTGACCACATGACCAAAAAAGCTCATGGTTCACCAGTGCCCATGAGTGGGGGGAGGGGGAGGCAGCCCCATGAGGTAGGGGTGAGGGGGAGGGGTTAAAGTTTTCTGGGGAGGCAAAGCACTGGAAAGATTAAAAGCCTTGGCTGCACGTTCAAATGTCTTATCTGTGGTTTACTTCTGAATAATGGATTAGGCTCAGGATGGAATCTTTCTACTCTACAAATACTCCACGTTTATTTGAGATAATAGTTCTATTTGTCTCATAGGGTTGCTGGATGAACTGAAATAGTTGATGTACCCAAATTATGAAACAGTGAGTCCGCCAAGAAGGAAGTACTTAGTAACTCAAAGTTCTAGTTATGGTCCCAGCAGGAATGTGATGTATTCTGCACTGAGGTAAAGTTCTCCGACTCATACTGTGGCTGCAGGGAATGGGTGTTGGCATGGGCTGGAAGAAGCAGCATGTAGTGAACACCTTCTGTGCTCCGGGCAGTACATCAGCTGTGCAGCCTTCTCTGTTGATCCATAGGTTGGCAAGGAATCTTCTGGCACAGACTTGGGCCTCCTGGAGTCCTCCGGGTCTTGCTTTACAACTGTGAGCGGGCCTGGGAAAGTCTCGAGGCAAGACTTTTACGGAATAGGGCATGGAGAGATAGTACAGTAGGTAAGGTTCTTGCCTTGTATGCAGTCAACCCGGTTTCAATCCCTGGCACCCCATGTGGTCCTCCATGCACTGTCAGGAGTAATTCCTGAGCATCACTGAGTGTATCCCTAAACCCCACCCTCCACTCCCCCCAAACAGAACTTCATGGTATAAGGCAACGTGCAAGCTCTTTGTCCCTCTGTGACTCAGGTACTTACCTCAAACAACTGTGTCAGGATTGGCAAGTCTTTTATTTTTTTTGTAGATTTTATTTTTTTTTATTTTTATTAGTGGAACACCATGAGGTACACTTGTAGATTTACAAATTTTTGTGCTTGGGTTTCGATTATACAATGATCAAATACTCATCCCTCCACCAGTGCCCATTTTCAACCACCATGGATCCCAGTATCCCTCCCACACCCTTCCTCCCATCCCACCCTGCCTCTGTGGCAGGGCATTCCCTTTTGTTCTCTCTCTCCTTTTGGGTGTTGTGGTTTGCAAAAGAAGCTTTGAGTGGCAATCTTGTTCAGTCCATAGTCTACTTTCAACATGTATCTCCCCTCCTGAGAGGATCCTCCAAACACCCTTTATTTTGTGCTTCCTTCTCTATCTGAGCTGCCCTTTCCCATAGAGTGCCCAGCTGGCCTCTAAGTCATGGAGTAATCCTTCTGGTACTGATCGTGGCTATTCTTGGGTATTAATCTTCTATTTTGTTACTTTATGTCCCCCAGATGGATGCAAATATTTTTATGTCTATCCCTCTCTTTCCGACTCATTTCGCTTAGCATGATACTTTCCATGTGGTACCACTTGTATGTAAAATTCATGACTTCATCTTTTCTAATAGCTACATAGTACTCCATTGTGTAGATGTACCAAAGTTTCTTTAGCCAGTCATCTGTTCTCGGGCACTCAGGTTTTTTCCAGATTCTGACTATTGTAAAGAGTGCTACAATGAACAAACAAGTGCAGATGTCACTTTGACCATACATCTTTGCCTCTCTGGGATATATTCCCAGGAGTGGTATTGCTAGGTCAAATGGGAGCTCAGGATTGGCAAGTCTTGCATCAACCAGGAGTGCTCAGGTTGCCACACTGGATATCCCCAGCTTAACTGTACCTCACTCAGTCTCAGCTGTGAGATTCTTCGGCTGTAGAGGATATATGGAAGCACCTAATACATAGCAAGGTTTTTACTAAAGGAAAAGAGTTTTAGGCTGGAAGGTGAGTTCTTATTGAGTAGGATAGAAAGAAGAGCACAGAAACCAAGAAGCAATTTTGCTCATGGACACTGGTGTAACGGGACGTGCCTATATGTTCCACTAAACAAAGTCACCACCCCAGCACCTTCCTGGGAATGGAGGGCTCCATCTGCACAGATGTCCTTCACACTGGCTAATCTCTCTGTATCTTTGTTCTCTGAGCATTGAGCACTAATGACGTTGGGTCCTTGCAAATGCAAGCATTCTGAGCAAATGCTAAAAGGCCCTGTGGCGTATCTGTGTGGCACCCTGTAGAATGTTCTCAGAAACTCTGGCTGTCAGATGCTCTAATTCTGATTTTCTCCACATCTGCTTCTGGGAGCGAGATTTCTTCCTTTGTAGATCATCTCACTCCAGGAGCTCAGGTACAAACCTCAGTTTTTCCTCTGCAGCAGGATACTGAAAGTTTATAATTCTCAGATATTGTTCCCTCGGTTCTGGCTTATTCTGTCTGTTACGTGCTTCCTGATTATTTTTTGACCTGCATTGCCCTCAACCATCTCACACACAGAAAGCTTCTTAATAAGAAAAAAAGAAAGAGAAAAAAAAGAACTGAGTGACAGATTTGCAAAAGCTGGTGCTGTCACAAAAGAATCTTTTCTCTTAGACTTTTTTTTTTCTCTTTCTGGTACCAATGGTCCCTATCCTTGCTCCTGCCTTCCCAGAATTCTCCATGGCAGTCCTTGGTTCAGAGGAATGAAGCCCAGATCTTTTTTAAAACTTTTTCCTGAGTCAGAGCTTATCCAGATCCATTCAATTCTGTCTCTGTTCTCTGCTAGGGAAAGGGCATATTAATTTGTGACAGGAGGGCAGGGTAGGTAATTGAAAGAGTTCTTGTTTTTAAGATTGACAAATACTACATCTTCATTGTGGCATCATCACTTATTAGCTGTGTCTTTGGGCAAACCTGTTCACCTCTGGGCCTCAGTTTATTAAACCTCTAAGTGAGATGATACTGTAAGCAATTCACCATTAAGGAAAGAGACAAATTGATTGGAAAAATAACTTAGAGTAAGTGTTAGATAACATAGTGTTCTTGTGTTATACTGAAATTTTAACTTGTTTCGATTTGTAAATTTTCTCTGGAATTAAAGTAATCCCCATGCTTCTAATATACTCAGGAGAACGACTGCTGGTGAGAGGGGCACTTGAGCCATCAAAGGGAACAGTTTTATCTCCCAAGAATTATACTATATCTTCTACCAGGAAGTCACACTCCTGGAAATAAGCCAAAGATCCCTCCTCTGACTTTTCTAGAGTAGGGATGGCTGGTTCCTTGGTTGGGCAGGGACATCCAGACATTCAACAGGATTTGCATTACGATGCTTGTTCCTACGGCCCACAAGCCTTGATGGGCCTTGAAGTTCTTGGAAGTTTGTAGAGAAACATTCACACCAAATACTGCCACTTTCTGACATTTTAATTCAATGTTCAAACTGTATACACACATACATCAGGAGAGGTATGCCTTTTCTAACCACAACTGCTTTCTCAGGAGGAAGAATTCTATTGATCCGAATGCATTTTATCTAT